TATTATCGAACTGCTGACTTCTCCACATCGTATTCCCTATTCATCAAGTTTAACTTAGGTAATTTGGAAAGGTAACACATCTTAATTACAGAATGAGAGAACACAAACGCAAAAATCAATATAAAAAGCTTAAAATGGAAAATAAGAATACATTGGAAAAAGGAAATTAAATCATCAATACCCACAAAAAAAAGCTAGAGGCGCCCGTCAGCTGCTCCGGAAGGTAAATGGCCTCTGCCACATGTAGCAGCCGTTTATAAACTTTGAACGTATCAAAATAATCGTTAGTGGAAACCAGCTTATTTTGGGTGAAGTGGATTAAACGCAATTATCTTTAAGACATAGACAAAGCCGTGAATTGATAAGTAGCATTTTCTATCAAATGCAGAACACAGCCAGTGAATGTAGACTGAATTTTTGAAATGTAGAACAGGAATATTCAGAGTTTGGACGTTTCTAAAGAGGGGAAATACATTAAACGATCTTAAAGTTAGAGTCAACACGTTTGTCCCAGAGTAAGTAAAGATGTCAGAATTCTTGTTTTCACGGTTTTTAAGTTTAATTCAACACGAGTGTCCAATACATGTAGATCAGTAGAGCTGTCAGCGTTGTTGATCACGATCCAGAGATTGGTAAATATCTTTCCATTATTTTCTCAGACGATCCTGGTGTTAAAGTCAACAGGTGTTTGACACGGTTTAGGAGACAAGTCACCGTTTTTGTCATAGTGTTGATGAACGTCGAGATATAAACCTGAAGAAGAAGGGACTGAAATATCTTTAGTCTCAGCTCTGAAAGATAAATGAAACGCAAGTAATTTTATAAATGCGTGATATCCAAGGACAAAATAACATTAATATATCTCAACATGAGATTAAAGGATCGAGCTAGTATCTTAGCTCGTGTCTTTAGTAACCATTGTATAAAACCAGTCTTCCTGGATACAAGACTACATCGGCTAGACGCAGTGCATAATAATGTCCCATTGGAATTATAACGTCTTAAAAAATATTCTTCTACAAAAAATGTTAGCAACAAAATAATGATCATGTGTATAGTATCTTTTTTGTGTTTATCAGCGCAAAATTATTTAACAAATAAGTCTCGTTTTTATTGACATAGACGATATATAGTTAATGTTTGTTCAGTGAAAGCGATGCGTTTGACATAGGTTAAGCGGAATAACGAGTTTAAGGCAGGAGTGAAAATATCGGTTTAGTATGTCGTTAGAATAAAATTTCACCCACAACAAATATAGGTTTCGTCATTGAATAAACCTTCTTAGATATAGTAAAAACGTTCGGTTACCCACTAAGGGGTATCACCCTTGACGTTATCCCATTGATCAATCTTCTTATTACATGTATGACGTCAGGTAACAATGTTTTGCGATGTCGTCTTCCATTGTGACGTCTTATTTCATTGCATTTGTTTCCGAGATCGGAAACGGGAATAATGTATGCAAAAAGAAACATATGGTTTTCTAGATATAACATCTGAATGTTGTGGGGGTAAAATGTCCCCGAACTCAACATTTGATTTTTATGTTTAACTAACTCTGATAAGTGAACCATTTTCAAATTGTAAAAGACACTTGGTTAAACGAGCTTTTATACAATTTGAAATTAAACTAACTCGAATTAGATAAACATGATAATCAACCATCACTTTTTGGGAACCTCGGTAAAAACATTTTATTTGACTTTTTATTGCGTTTTCAAAATACCTACGAACACAAAAAGGTTTCTGTATCAAACTGTCGGGTAATTTGTCGTTATATTGGAATGACTTTACGATTTGCAACAAAGCTGCGCAATATTTTGAACCGATGAATACATGGAAGTTTACTATGTCCTGCCACATGTATAATCTAGTAAGATTTGTTTACAAAGTGTTAAGTTAAGTAAATATCTCACTGTATGTAGCAATAACGTAAATACACAACTACCTCTTTTACTATAGCTTCGTCAATATCTGACCAGAACATCGGCGGCATTGAATAGAGTGTACCGATCTGATTGGTCAATATCAAAAGACAATCTTCATAATGTGACAAATATCACATTTGATATCTTTCACACTGCCGAAGGTACATGTATTAGTTCTATCAAGTTGATAGAATGTAATATTACAATGACAAAAATGTAATAAAACACGATATTTATATCTTCGACCGTCTGCAATATAGACGCCAGGACTGAGATAAGAGACATTTTCGACGTGATTTACAAATGTTTGTACTGTTTGGGGGACAGTTGTATACAGTGTCAAGAAGTCATACGCACGTTTACAAGGATGGTGAATTAAATCAGTATGGGGTCTAACTTTTGCAAATCATTTGAGCAGGATGAAGAGTATGGGGAGTAAATTTGGTGAACAATGGGGCATGTGTATAACGACTGGAAAATAAAGGAATCAGTTCAGAGAGGTAATTTGTGTCAAGAGTTTTTATTATCCGCAAATCGATTCATGTTCAGATCTTTCGTTGAATATAAGGAAACGGATTGTTGTTGTTCGTTCAGCAATTTCCGGGAAAGTGCTTTAAGCACAACAGAGTTTTTTCTTACCTTGTACTTAAATATTATAGTCATTTTAAAATTTCTATTTCTTACAACAAATGGACATCATTGCTAGTGACAATTACGCTGACATTTTCAATACGGGTATGTTTATATCTAGCAGTGCTGTTCTCTCTTTGAGTCAGTTTGAAATAACTAGTAATAACATAGGTACATTGGTTCATTCGATTTGGAAATGACAGACATTCCAATGTTCAAACACAAAATTAAACTTCCTTCAAGAAAACAAAACGCATGTAATACTATAGCGTCAACGCAGAAATATAGGATGCAATAGGAACAGGAAACATCAAAACAAAAGGTGAAACAACATGGACATTTAACATGTCTGAAATGCTGTCATCATCATTATCAAGAACTGTAACACTTACATCCTACCTGAAACAATGATTGTCTCTTTTCTTTATAACCAAATAACAAAGACTCACAGAAAGGGATAGGTGACGATTAAGGTGTGAGTATTTCTTGCAACGCTTGTGGCGCCTGCCACTTTGTCTTAGTCAAATGCAGAAAATTTGCTTTTCATTTGTGATGAAAACTGTCAATGTAAGGAATAAATTGTAAAAAATACCATGGCTAAGTAATTTATTCGGATTTTTTTTATATTGTCAGCATAGAATATGAACTGAATTGAATACAGTATCGATACAAATAGCAAATGGCCTGAAAGAAATATAAACCCGGTACAATATAGAGAGAATTAGCTGTAAGTAAAAACTAACACAACATCTATATGCAGACACAGTTTACGCAAAATATACATTAACTTATGCGTTACCACAAAGAACAAGAGGGAAAAAACAAGTATTAGCACACAAGGACAAAGTACATCACAGCCTTAACACACAAGTACAAACTATATCACATCAGACACACACAAGTTCAACCTATATCACATCAGTAACACACAAGTACAAACTATATCACATCAGTAACACACAAGTTCAAACTATATCACATCAGTAACACACAAGAACAAACTATATCACATCAGTAACACACAAGGACAAACTATATCACAGCATTAACACACAAGTACAAACTATATCACAGCATTAACACACAAGAACAAACTCTATCACATCAGTAACACACAAGGACAAACTATATCACAGCAGTAACACACAAGTACAAACTATATCACAGCATTGACACACAAGGACAAAATATATCACAGCATTAACACACAAGTACAAACTATATCACAGCATTAACACACAAGGACAAAATATATCACAGCATTGACACACAAGGACAAACTATATCACATCAGTAACACACAAGTACAAACTATATCACATCAGTAACACACAAAAACAAATTATATCACAGCATTAACACACAAGGACAAAATATATCACAGCATTGACACACAAGGACAAACTATATCACATCAGTTACACACAAGGACAAACTATATCACAGCATTAACACACAAGGACAAACTATATCACAGCATTAACACACAACGACAAACTATATCACAGCATTAACACACAAGGACAACATATACAAGTGTATAACTGTCAACACCAATTACAAAGTACAAAAGAGACAAAACAAGTATCAACACAAAAGGACAAAATATCACGCAAGGACAAAATAACACACAAGGACGAAATATATTACAGAATTAACACACAAAAACAAACTTAATCATAGCATCAACACAAAAAGACATAGCATACCACTTTGCCAACACAAAACAACACATTGTACCATAGAGGAAACACAAGACAAAAGACAAAACAGAAACTGAGCTTAGATAATAGAATAGAAAGGCCATTATAAACATCCAGAAAATAAATCGGAACAGAATCAGGTACTTAGGAAGGTTAAGCGTGTTCTAATCAAGGAAAGTGTGTAGGGCAACACGGATCGAAGGCGGCAAACACATCTTTTTCATGGTAAACACTTAAATACTTAAAGTTGGAAATGCGTAAAAACCGGTGCAATGTACAACAAATGTTTTGAAGTGAAGTGTTCCAATGTAAGGACGACGTCCGGACATAAATGTTGAAGACGTTGTGACAGACAGACATGTATGAGGCACTGGTTCGTCAATAACGTGAGAGACTGTTTGACATATATTGGTCTGTTATAACAACGCTGAGGAGATGTGGGAGGTGAGCAGAGGAGAAATCTATACGGACCTAAAGACGTGAAAGTTGATACCTCGTTATCGGTATTACGGCAAAAATCATCGAGTGCTGGCCTTAATCCGGCGCCATTATCGGACCCATTTATCGTCTTGATACTCACATTAATATTCAAAAACAAAACACGATGAAACAGGTTAAGCTATGAAATTGAAATAGTTGTTGTTTAATCGTGTATACCATCTCGGCGTATCGACCGGAGTACTGGAGAGCTCGCTGGCCGTGGTCGTGTCCCGATCAATACCCAGCCTACACTGCGCACGGCCCCAGATACAACCAAGAAATCTACTACTATCACAACTACTAATTTATAAATGTGGAATTAGGCTCTTAAGGAACGTTTGACAGTTGAAGCACGTGACAAACATGCCGATATCCCCCGCCCTCCCGAACGGCGTGAGGGGGAGCCAAGGAGGGGCGTGACCGACCCGCCGATCACAGAACCGCCTCGCGCTCACCATTCAACTGTTTTCTTTTCTTTAAATCGTTTATCGATTGGCGATGTCATTTGTCGGAAGTTGTAGGAACACATAACAAAGTAGCGGGGAAGATCGCGACGAGAGCGGCTCGTGAAAGCTGGTTGGTTCTGTGTTCACGATTGATCGCACCATACGGCAAAACAACCGAAACTACAACATGCCCTTACTTTGGAAAAGCCGCGTCCGGGAGAAAATGCCTGCCCCCCGGAGCCCGTCCCCGGTGCTGAAGCCCCTGTCGGCCCTTGCAGTACCGGGAATGTTCCTCTTCTATAAATACAACGAGCTTAAACGCCAGTCAAATCATACACCCGTCCCTAAGCGGACTACCGTGACAGAGAGGGAGTTAGATCACCTCAACCATAAAATTGTAAGTAACACTTTACCTTTATCTTTATTATCAATCTGTTATTATAAACTTTCACATTAGTTGTTTTCAGTATATAGTGATACCTATTAGAACATTGGGTCAGCTTCTGCATGCTTTACGTACAATTTACCCTCAGACCGATAGCAGTCATGGAACAGCTTCTGTATACTTTACAAGGATCGCACTGCCAACCCTACTGTGATGGACCAACTTACACGTCCTTTTTAAGTATCGTACTGCCAACCCCATGCTAAAGATTCCGTATACATTGTACGTCTTGTAAAGTCAACTGTATGCCAATGTTACATCCATTTCTGTATACTTTACAAACGTTTCACATTCGATCATTTACTATTGATAGAGAAACTTCCGCATACCCGCAACCAAAACAGAAAGCTGGTAAGTTTGGAAAGGACTTAAATAGGTCGAGCCTGATGTCCAATCCAATTGACATAAATAGTCAATAAAATCTGTTGAAATTGAAAAACAGAAAGCTGTGTGTAAATGCAAAAATCCCGGTTTTCTACTCCAACTGATTCATTTATTAGCTAGTTGAGAAACATTTACCCACATTGTACTGTTAAAGACCCCGTATACTGTCATCATAGTACCAACCTTTTATATCACGGCTTAGTTAACTACCAATAAACTCGGGTCTTTATCAACATAATGTCAACCCTATATATTACACACCTAGAGGAGTTCGCTACATAACACTGTCAGGAGAGTATTAACAATGAATGCTACGGAAAACTATCACCATAATACTATCTACATAGAAAATACTGTATACTTATATAACCATTTATAAAACATAGGGAATACTGTATACTTATATAACTATTTATCAAACATAAACAATACTATATACTTATATAATCATTTATAAAACATTTTTTTGTGGAAAACAACTCCTTTGCGCTCCCTACATAGGGAATACTAATTAATTATATAATGCCAATAGCATGCTGCTGGGTGTGTATACCAAAACACCACTAAGTTAAAATACATGTCTACATTTATGATATAAATTACAGATGTACCAAATATCTAGTGGAACACAAGTAGTTGCTGTTATAATAAAAATTATACTAAAGATAAAAGCAATGTCAAAGTTCTACATTTATAATATATCTAATATATGTACTACGTATATACTATATATATAACAGATCTACCGAGTATCTAGTGAGGTATAAACTATTCAAGGCTATCTCGTTAACTTCATTGTCTCTGTTTTTTAAGAGTGTAAATAGAATACCCAACCGATATTTATTTTTTCCTTCGAATTATTGTACACGACGAATTAGTCATGTGACATTCAAAAAGAACATTTTGTTTGAATGTATATTTTAAATTACCAATAGAAAGGCTCAAACAACATTTAAGATCTACCCTAGCATTTCTTATATTGACTAGATGTGTTATATTTTGTGTAATTGAAGAACAACTGGGGCAGATGAATAGTATTGGATGGACATTGTTAAAATGCTCCGGTATGTCTATCACAATCTCCAAAACAGGGGAATAAACAATTAGCGACATAGCCTGAGTAAAATACATCAAATTTGTATGAAATGTACATTTATACATGTACAATATATAAATGCTAATATGTATACCGTATGGTATTAAAATGTAGCATTTATACCATATATAATACAATGTTTACCAAGTTGTAATACAACATTGCATAAACCGTCTTTATATTTCTGCCATGTACATAAACGTATTTATATCCTGCCCCATGTATATAAACGTATTTATGTCCTGTCCAATGTACATAAACGTATTTATGCCCTGTCCCATGTATATAAACGTATTTATGTCCTGTCCCATGTATAGAAACGTATTTATGTCCTGTCCCAGGTATAGAAAGGTATTTATGTCCTGTCGCATGTATAGAAACGTATTTATGTCCTGTCCCAGGTATAGAAAGGTATTTATGTCCTGTCGCATGTATAGAAACGTATTTATGTCCTGTCCCAGGTATAGAAAGGTATTTATGTCCTGTCGCATGTATAGAAACGTATTTATGTCCTGTCCCAGGTATAGAAAGGTATTTATGTCCTGTCGCATGTATAGAAACGTATTTATGTCCTGTCCCAGGTATAGAAAGGTATTTATGTCCTGTCGCATGTATAGAAACGTATTTATGTCCTGTCCCAGGTATAGAAAGGTATTTATGTCCTGTCGCATGTATAGAAACGTATTTATGTCCTGTCCCAGGTATAGAAAGGTATTTATGTCCTGTCGCATGTATAGAAACGTATTTATGTCCTGTCCCAGGTATAGAAAGGTATTTATGTCCTGTCGCATGTATAGAAACGTATTTATGTCCTGTCCCAGGTATAGAAAGGTATTTATGTCCTGTCGCATGTATAGAAACGTATTTATGTCCTGTCCCAGGTATAGAAAGGTATTTATGTCCTGTCGCATGTATAGAAACGTATTTATGTCCTGTCCCAGGTATAGAAAGGTATTTATGTCCTGTCCCATGTATAGAAACGTATTTATGTCCTGTCCAAGGTATAGAAAGGTATTTACATTTCTTTGTATGTCCTGTCCCATGTATAGAAACGTATTTATGTACTGTCCCAGGTATAGAAACGTATTTATGTCCTGTCCAAGGTATAGAAACGTATTTACATTTCTATGTATGTCCTGTCCCATGTATAGAAACGTATTTATGTCCTGTCCCAGGTATAGAAACGTATTTACATTTCTTTGTATGTCCTGTCCCATGTATAGAAACGTATTTATGTCCTGTCCCAGGTATAGAAACGTATTTACATTTCTTTGTATGTCCTGTCCCATGTATAGAAACGTATTTATGTCCTGTCCCAGGTATAGAAAAGTCTTATGTCCTGTCCCAGGTATAGAAAGGTACATGTATTTATGTCCTGTCCCAGGTATAGAAAAGTCTTATGTCCTGTCCCAGGTATAGAAAGGTATTTATGTCCTGTCCCATGTATAGAAAGGTATTTACATTTCTTTGTATGTCCTGTCCCAGGTATATATAGAAACGTATTTATGTCCTGTCCCAGGTATAGAAAAGTCTTATGTCCTGTCCCAGGTATAGAAAGGTATTTATGTCCTGTTCCAGGTATAGAAACGTATTTATGTCCTGTCCCAGGTATAGAAACATATTTATGTCCTGTCCCACGTATAGAAAAGTCGTATGTCCTGTCCCAGGTATATAAACGTATTTAATCTCCGTCCTATGTATAGAAACGTATTTATGTCCTGTCCCATGTATAAAATACATGCATATGTCCTGTCCCTTGTATAGAAACGTATTCATGCCCTGTCCCTTGTATAAAACACATGCCTATGTCCTGTCCCATGTATATAAACGTATTTATGCCCTGTCCCTTGTGTAAAATACATGCCTATGTCCTGTCCCATGTATATAAACGTATTTATGCCCTGTCCCTTGTGTAAAATACATGCTTATATCCTGTCCCATATAAAGAAACGTATTTATGTCCTGTCCCATGTTAGAAAGGTATTTATGGTATGTCCCATATACAGAAACGTTTTGTCCCGTCTCATATATATGAAAACATATTTATGTCCTATCCTTTATTTAAAAAAACGACAACATATCTATGGCTTGTCTATTTTTAAATTTGTGAATGAATTTACCGTTACTTATAACTAGACATACATTGACACCCAAGTGGAGTTTTAACGGAAATGATGTACTAATGACACAGATGATGGCTGTTAGGTGGATATCAATATATATCGTATTTTGATTTGTATTCACACATGTTTATGGCCGGTACGAACAGATGTGACATACTGGGTTTTGCGGAAAATGTATCAACTGGTATTTCAATAGCTATTATACACTAATATTGCAAATGAACTATCATCGTGAACTTTTGATAAACACTTTGTTTCTATCATATAAGTTGTTTGTCTGTACACACTAAATGTGATAAAATGCATATCAATGAACAAAAGTCTTTATAATTAATAAACTGCTATAATGTATGAGGATTATCTTCATTCTACTAATTTAACTGATAAATAATACATTAAGTGTAATGGTTGACCTTCATGATGTTAGTAAAGATGATGTTAGTAAACTTGTCTTTCCGCATAACTGTACGATATTTCTACTATGTACAATGCTGTAACAAATGAAGTCTTATTTCATGTATTAACTATCTAACTATCAACGCTTATAGACCTGATATCATGCCCCTGTTACAAATCATTTGGACTACGTAATAATAAGCTATTAATAGATCTGACACACAGAACACGTGACATGTGAGTAGGCACGATACGTCATACCCTAGCGCATTTAGAGGCATCAAAAGACAACTAAGTTAGAGAGCGGATAACACTCTACACATACACAATAAGACTAGCACGCGAGTTTCTATATATGGAAACCGCTTTTTTTAGATCACAGGATAATATCCATTTAGGGAAAAGGGAAAGGCAATATGCGAAGAAAACACGTCTCTGGATACAGACTAATTATTATCACAAATGAATTAGTTAAGACGTATATAAATTTGGAACCATTTATACCACTTTAAGCTTGAAGTTGGGCAGTTGCTTGTGACTTGATATGTGTATGTATTCATGTGATAGTTAATACATGAGCATACAATAAGCTGATCTGTGTATCTATTCATGTGATAGTTAACACATGAGCATACAATAAGCTGATCTGTGTATCTATTCATGTGAAAGTTAACACACGAGCATACAATAAGCTGATCTGTGTATCTATTCATGTGATAGTTAATACATGAGCATACAATAAGCTGATCTGTGTATATATTCATGTGATAGTTATTACATGAGCATACAATAAGCTGATCTGTGTATTTATTCAAGTGAAAGTTAATACATGAGCATACAATAAGCTGATCTGTGTATCTATTCACAATAAATACGTATGTAACAAAGAAGTTAATGTATACCTGCTATATGGTTTGAACACCAGCAGAAACTTCTTCTGATAAACATTGTAT